CACCTGCATTATTAAAATCCCAAATATTCTTCATTCTTTATGATGTGGCATTTCTTAACCTTATTTGTCTATAACTTCAGCACTTCATCCATTTTTGTTACTGGAGGCTTAAATTTGTTCTGTATTTAATATTTTTATCACGGTTTTTCTCCTCTCCAACCCATTCATATCTTTACACCTTGTATCCCTGACAATGTGGGAATATGGCCAAACCTCATTTTCGGGACTGCTAGGTCAAATTAGAAGATGACAACACTGTCATTTATAATTAACTACCAAATGTACACCTTCAGTTTACCAAGTTTTCTGTTTTTCCTATCTTTTCCTGAGAGTACAGTTAAGGTGTTTGGGTTAAAACCAGCTCCAGGAAATCCCTGACACTTTGTAATAAGCAAAAACAGTCATAAACTAACATTTGCTCAAAGCCCAAAATAAACCATGCAACAAGCCTAAATGGAATAAGCACAACTTTCTCTTCTTTCTGAGTTTTAGTTTTTAAGGTGGCCAAAGCAGGTTTAGTTATTGGCAGTAGATATGAGCTTATTTGCCAACTAAATGCATTGGGGTGGGGGTGGGGAGAGGAGTGGAAAGAGTAACAAAGGAGCACTGACCAAGTTTGGACAGAAGTACTTCCAGTAAATTCAGTCAGTGGGGAATTCATAGGCCAATGTGCATTTCCACAAGTGGCTTATTGAACTTATTTTCAGGTTCCACATAGAGCACTGATTGCACCAAGCAAGATGGATAATTTATCTCCTGCACCACTGGAGCAAAAACTGGTAGTATAAACTTGTTCATTAAATTCAACAAGCATGTATGAGCCAGGCCTGCGCCAACTAGTAAGGACTATCGCCCTCTTGAAACCTAGGCCTGTGGAGGAGGGGTTTCAAATTTGTCTCAATTGTACCCACAGGACTTTAACTTATGGAGGCAACTGAATGACAACACAAAGAAGCTAATGCCATTGAAAGAAAGTTGTTATTACTTGCATTTCCCAAGAGAAGGGAGCACACCCCGCCATTCAGAGCCACATAGGGAAGCACCAGTTTTGGTCAGGAGGCAGAAGCAGTGAGGGGAAAGCATGGCCCAGACCGCTATTGTTTTCCACAGGAAAGGCAAGACTGGGAAAACAGCTTAGGATTGACTATTTTGAATAATGCAGCAGGTTCTGGGCTATGGAGGTGGTCTCTAGTTGTGTGCTACCTGGCCCTGTGTGATTAGGGCAGAGGAATATTGGCTTGGTGTGTGCGAGTTAGGTAAAGGAGGTGGTTGGGAGTATGGACTCATAATTTGTTGGAGGGTTTGTAATATGATTTTCATGCACCCACAAAAGCTGGCTCACAGAGGAGATATAAACAACTTTGGCCGTTAGTTAGGCCCTATGACTAATGGATGCCAAGTAGACAAATATAGAATCTAAAAAAACACAGAACAAAAATCCACATGATCAGGGAGTCTCAGTGCAAATCAATCCTCTTATATAAAAACACAACTTAGAAACTATACTACATACTGACAAACTCATGGAAAACCAACGGAAAAGCTATTCCAGGTTTTAACTATAAAAATGTGTAGTAAAGAATTTGGCTTTGCCCAAAGAGAGGTTTGGCCTTTGCCCTCAGCTTCTGGGATTAATCTATGTCATACCTGATAGGACTGTCTTTGTTTAGGTTACAAGAGGGCCACAGTGCATCTTAGGGTGGGGAACTGGCCTCTCCAGAAAGACCAGCTGTGTAATTTAGGGTAGGGCTTTAGCTCTCATAGTATCAGTGGACCTGCAGGCTGAGTTCAACCATGTGGGCAATCAATCAGTCATGAGTACATAATGAAACCCCAATAAAAACCTGGACACTGACGCTCAGATGAGCTTCCCCAGTTGGCAATGCTCCGTGTGTATTGCCACACACATGGATGCCAGGAGGCAAATGCATCCAAACTCCACAGGAGAGGACAATGAAAGCATCCCATCTGGAACCCTCCCAGACTCTGCCCTTTATGTCTCTTCCTTTGACTGATCTTAATCTGTATCCTTTCCCTGCAATAAAACTCAACCATGAATATAAAACTCTCAGTGTGTTCTGTGAGCCCTTCTAGTGAATTATCGAACCTGAGGGTGGTTTTGGGGACCCCCCCCAAAACATGCAATTCATATCAGAAGAGAAAGGAGTCTTAGGAACTGTGACCTCAACCTTTGCAGTTTGTCTAACTCCAGGCAAAAAGTATATAGATGTGCATTGTAAATAAATAAATAAATGTAAAAAGTAGAGAAGGTGTTAAGTAAAAAATGGAAGGTTCTCCTCCCTTCTCTAGTTTCATCAGTCCCAGTTCTCCAGAGAATCCCACTGTTAATTGTTTCTTGCTGGTTTATCTCTCTAGACATTTTCTGCGCAAATATAAACATATATACACACTTGATTATTTTTTTTATCATAAATGAAATTATGCTATGTAGCCTGTGTGAAACTTCCTTTTATCCCTTCTGTTTCATGAGTAGTCTTTGTGTCAGCACATCTGGACCCACCTCTCTGCTTTTGGATGGATGAATGTTTGTGGGGCTGAACCATCATAAGAAGAGAACCAAGTCTCAGGGTTCTTGTGAGATCACGTGATTTCACAAACGTAGAGCTCTTGCAGCAGTGCTGACACAAATAAGCCAGCACTCCATGTGTTTGTTATCATTTGTTTGCTTATTTATTTAGCCAGCCCTCTGTTGTGTACATTGCTAATTCTAATTTTTCCATTATTTCCAACAAGGCCACAATGAATATCCTTGAGCTTGTACTTATGCATTCACATCTAGAATGAATTCCTAGGAATGGAATTGCTGTGCCAAAGGGTATGTGCATTTAACATTTTGCTAGGTTTTGTCAAATTACTGTCTAAAATGGTTGCACCAACTTGTATTCCTACCCCTCACCTGTGATATGCCTGATTCCCCTTACTCTCAATTAGTGAGCATTAACAAACTTTTTAGTCTTTACTAATCTGACAGGGTTTTAAAACTGTGTCTCCTGTAGTTTAGTTTGCATTTCTTTCATTATTGTGAGGCTAGGTATCTTTTTTTTTTTCCTTTTGTGAGGAAGATCAGCCCTGAGCTGACATCGATGCCAATCTTCTTTTTGCCGAGGAAGATTGGCCCTGGGCTAACATCCGTGCCCATCTTCCTCTACTTTACATGGGATGTGGCCACAGCAGGGCTTGACAAGCGCCATGCCTGGGGTCCCAACCTGCGAACCCTTGGGCCGCTGAAGCGAAGCACTCGCACACAACCGCTACGCCACCAGGCTGGCCCCACTAGGTATCTTTTTTTATACATTTATTCATTTACTTTATAGTACTTTTTCTTCCAGCCGCTTAACTCATGTGCTTTAATTTTCTGTTTGATTTAAGCAAATTTCCCATAGTCATTTGAAACTGATACCTTGAATGAGAATCAGGCAAAATGAAAAGATACCAGGATGCTTTCTCAGCATCATGACTTCCACTGTGGTTTTGAGCTTCCTTAAAAAAAAAAAAAAGCAAAGCAAAATGAAAAACAATAGACTGGAAAGAGGTACTAATTTTCTCTGGTTGATTGAAGGGTTTTGTTTGTTTGTTTATCCTTTTCAACTAAATAGAAATCATTCCCTCTATTTCAGCTTATATCCATTTCTCCAGCATGGAAATCAACCCACCAAGAACTGAATCTTTTTATTCTTTGATTTAAACCAACCTAATGAATAAATATTCCATTATTTCTCACCCAACATAAAAGGTGGTAGACAGCAAACTGGCAACAACTTTTGTGTGTATTTGTAAGTTTTTTGCACTTTTTATGAAAAAGTGAATTACTTTTTATAAAAAAGACTGAATTACTTTACTAAAAACAGGTTGATCCGTATGTTGTTCTAAAGGTATATTCTTGATTTTCAAGTGAATTTCACATTTTGCAAAGAACATATGCATTAGCTCATCAGGAATTTGATTTCTCCAAAAAGGAGAGACCCTAAAATGTGGTCCTGCCTTTCTTCAAACCTCCTTTTCTTCCAAAATTGATCTCTTGAAAGCTTCCCAAATGGGGCTCCTTGTTTTTCAACTGTACAACCTCTTCCCTCGCTCCTCTGCAGTTTTCAGAACTTGTAACAGTCAATGTATGATTATACACATACTGGCTTATTTCTATAATTTTTTTTTATTTATTTATTTTTTTCCCCCAAAGCCCCAGTAGATAGTTGTATGTCATAGTTGCACATTCTTCTAGTTGCTGTATGTGGGACGCGGTCTCAGCATGGCCGGAGAAGCGGTGCGTCGGTGTGAACCCGGGATCTGAACCCCGGGCCGCCAGCAGTGGAGCGCACGCACTTATCCGCTAAGCCATGGGGCCGGCCCACATACTGGCTTATTTCATATATTTGTAGATATATCCATATCCATCTTTTCTCCTCTGCTAAATTGTAAAGCTATAGATTAGGTACTCTATCAGTTATAAATTAGCAAAACAAATTACCTCCAAATTTAGCAGCTTAAAACAACAATACGCATTTATTATTTAGCACAGTTTCTATAGGTCAGAAATTCAGGAGCAGCTTTGCTGGGCTGCAGTCATCTAAGTAAAGGCTTGACTCAAGCTGGAGGCTCTGCTTTCAAGACGGTGCACTCTCATGGCTGGCAAATTGATGCTACATAGTTTCTCACCACATGGACTCCTCCAGAGAGCTACTCAAGAGTCTTCATGACATGGTGTCTGGCTTCCCCCAGAGTGAATGATCCAAGAAAGAGCAAGGCAAAAGCCACAGTGTCTTCTATGACCTAGCCTCAGAAGTCACACATTTCCAAAATATCCTATTGGTTACATAGATCAGCCCTCTACAGGGGCGTGAATACCAGGAGGCAGGAATCATTTGTGGCCATCCTAGAGTCTGGCTACCCTGGGGACCTGTCTTTCATTCATTCTTTATGTTATGCCTCATAGATCATAGATCTTGGCCTAGGTATAATCACTTAAAAGAACCCAATTATGGGGCCGCCCCGTGGCTTAGCGGTTAAGTGCGTGCACTCCACTGCTGGCGGCCCGGGTTCAGATCCCGGGCGCGCACCGACGCACCGCTTCTCCGGCCGTGCTGAGGCCGCATCCCACATACAGCAACTAGAACGATGTGCAACTATGACATACAACTATCTACTGGAGCTTTGGGGGAAAAAAATAAATAAATAAGTAAAAAATTAAAAAAAAAAGAACCCAATTATGAAGAAATACTGTAATGAATTAGGAAACTGGTTCCTTTAATTAAAACTGATGACACATGCGTAAAAGGACAAGCCTTAGGTCAAGTAACCCAGGAAACATCTCCAAGGCAGAGATTTGCATATAAGGAGTTTATTGTGGAGAGCCCTCTGGATCTCTACCCCTGTGGAGTGTGAAGGCAGGGGGACTGGGATCAGGGAGTTGTAGAACTGCAACAAAGGCCTCAGCAAATGCCCCGGGAGCTCTGGAGCTGGGAAGGCCCTTCAGAATATTTACACCATGGAAACTGGCAGATGCTACAAGTCAGGGTTTTTAATCCCTGATTTGATCCCTGAGTCGGTTATTGATCATTTACCAGCACACAAGTGATCTATTGAATCCCTTTCTCTGAGATCCAGAATGTGTTATTTTAACATATTAAAATTTCTGAGAAGTCCTACAATAAGGTAATGTGTTTGACTTTGTGAAATAAGCATTTCCCAAACACATGGCATGGGTATAAAACTTCGTCCACAGACTCAAGTATACAAGAAGCTATTTAATTTCTGATTCTGAGTCCAACAAAAACATAACCTCCCTCCTTCCTGGGATTCCCTCACTCCGCCCCCCATCCCCGGGGTTGTGCCCCAGTTCCAGGTGGCAGGAGGGGTGCCCTTCTGGTTCTGGTTCTCACTTATCGGACCACCCAGGCACTGCTCAGATGCCCCGAATCACTGCCCGCAGTGCCCTGCCGGCTCTGAGGTCTGGTCTGGCCTTTCTGTGACACACTCAGGTAAAGGAACCCTTGTCCTTCAGGCAAGCTGCACATGCTCTCCAGCTCCTCTGTCCATTCCACTTCCTATTGCCTCTCAGGCCTCCTTCACCCATTTTGCCTCCTGAAAGCTTCTGAGTTGCAAAGCCTGGTCTAGGTGGCCAAGGTGGCTCCTTTGCCACCTCCTTGGGCTCTGCTGAACCACACACAGACACGGGCTCCCTCCCTGCCCTCCCCCTCCTCCTTCAGATTCCCCCTTCCCTTTCCCCATGCCTCATTCCACCTCCTCGTTCCTTCTGCTCTTCCTCCCACCCCTCCTCTCCTTTCCTTCCCGTCTCTCCTTCCCCCACCGCAAAAACTTTCCAGGCTAGAGTAAATCCCTCTCTATTCATCCAGTCTTTGCTGGAGAATCAGCTGAGTTCTCCTAAGGATTTAGGTTTTGAATGACAAAAGCCAGAAAGGCTGGTTGTTTTGTTTTCTATCCTGAGGGAAGCCTCGCCTAAGGCAATGAGCCCTGTACCCCCTAACTGCTTAAGTGGAGAAGAAAGTTTGAAATTGGGAGAGAAGGGGTGAAGAAGCTCAGATCTAAAAATACCCTGCACTCCATCACACCTGTTGGAACTTCGGGACGGTTTTGTGGAGCACAGTTCAGGGAAACTCTGCAAGTGGCTTCCGACGTGACCTATTAAGGAACCTGCCGGGTGCCAAGGAGGTGCCATAGGATGGCCTCAAGGAAACAGGCAACAGACCACCGGGAAGCACTTTCCTCTGCAGACCCTGTCCGCCCTTCTGGAGCAAAGATGCCAAGGGGAGAGGGGGTGGAGCCGAGGGAATCCCAGCCGACCCAGAGTCACTGGGTCCCGGGGCTGCGGAGGGCCAGTGGGGGAGGCAGCTGTTCTTGACGGCTGTTTGAAAGCTTCCTTACAAGACTGCATCTGTGCCCGTGCACTTGGGTTTCCACAGGGACTGCTTTCTGAGGGCTCATGGCACTTTTGAAAAGGATCCTGATCCCCACTGTGATAGTGTAGGGCCCTGGAAGTATCTTAAAATTCCCTGGAAAATTAATATATTGATTTAGAAGGGACACCAAAATGCAAAGACTCCTCCAGACTAAAATGAGTTCAAACTAAAATGAGTTAAATGGGCATGATTTAATAGCAGGCCATTTCTAACGTGTTTATTTCACATAGCGTTTATATTGGTGGCAACTAGGATAACAAAGCATAGGGCCTTGATAAGGTCAAGAAATTACCAAATGCTAATTGTTTCTGCCAGGTGTAAGTGAGGAGATAAATAGCTTATAAATTAAACAGCAGTGCCTGAGGGCGCCATTCCTGGACTCTTGGGCTGTTCTGCACTCGCCAGCAAAATATTCCTTTTATCTCATAATTAGACACTTTTACCTTTAAAGACCGCACTCATTAATGAATGTTACCCTTCCACTGCCAAACTTAGAAGAGAAGAAAAAGGATAAGGGGGGCAGTAGTCTAATAAATTGAATGTCAATGACATTTCATCCTTTTGTCATCATTGAAATACAGATGTCTATCTTGGATCATATCTGGCTATCTATGGAGTTTTTCCATAAGGAGCTACTTTCCCAGTGCGGAAGTATGGCCGTCATGGTATCTGGACCCGACACCTTCCAACACCTGCTCACGTGCTGCAGCTGTTCCCATTCAGGATCTTGCCTCAGATTCACTTATAAGTGTTACTATACCATCAGATTTATTCAATGCCGGTTAATATGTCTTAACTTTATCATGAATACCACTTGTTCCCTTCCCAGCTTCCCATCTCAAGCGAGAATCGAAAGGGTTGAATATCACTACCACATTATTTTACTAGAAATGTAGACATAGAGTGCAAGGCAGTGTGAAGAGTTGTTTTCTTTCTTTTTTCTTCAGCCTCAGAACATCTGGTTAGAAGAATGCTATCTGGATAATGTTATTTTTCCCTCTGCTTTAGTCATGGTATATCAAATGTGTTAGATATTCTAAGGACAAAAATGTGTCCATTCCTTGTTATTTCATCCATCCATCCGTCCATCCATTTATCCATCCATACGTTTACTTCATCATTTATTCTTTGCATGTTTACCAAACTCTCTTGGTTCAGATTCTGTGCAGGGCACTAGATGGAAGACAAATGTGAGTCTGGCACATTTCTTTCTGCTGAGCTCAGAGAGAGGCCAAAATCGTAAATACTGAATACACTATAAAGCTGTGGGCAGGCCCCATCCGACTTGGGCTTGGGCAGGAAGATTCCAGTGAGGAGATGATAAGGCACAGAGGAGCAGCAGAGAGCAGCGGCTTGTAGGCCCTCAGCTGAGCTATCCTCAGAAGCAAACAAGTGCCCGCTGTGCCCAGGGTACCAAGTGCAGGCTGGGCCAGGAGTACTTGTGAAGATGAGGTGCAGCACTTGACCGAGGTTACCTCATTTTATTCTCCCGGTAATTCCGAGACGTGGGCGCTTCCCTAGCTGCTCTATAGTGGGGAGCAAGAGGGAGGGAGGAAGAAATCTCAGCTGCCCCTGCCAACTGTGACCTTGGGAAAGGAACTTAACCTCTCTGGTCCTCAGTTTCTTCGTATGTTAAATGGAGATCAAAACAGTTTCTACCTCTCGGGCTTGTTGTGATGATCAAATGAATTTATACATGTAAAGTACTTAGAATAGTGCATGAGATTGATAAATAATAGCTATCATTACTAATCCCACTGATGAAGCTTAGTGAGTGTAATTAAGTGACCCAAATCACCCAGCTAAAAGGGGCAGAGCTAGAGCTCGAACCACTTCCTTACCCGCAATACTGTGTGCAGTGTACCGCGTACACAGATTGACCACCTACTCAAGATTGGGTGCAACCAGGAAAGGCTTCCTGTAGAAGGAGGCATCTGAGCTGAGTTTGGAAGAAAGGCCAGGAGTTTGCCAGGGAAAGAAGTGGGGGAAGGCATTTCAAGGAATTGGAGCAGATTGTGTGAAGGCCCAGAGCATGAGCAAGTCTGGCATGTTGAGGGGACTGAGGTGTGCCGGGGTATGGAGAGTGAGTGGGGCCAGGGCACAGATGAAAACCAGCTGAGGAGTCTGGGCCTGATCCTGAAGGCCTTGCAGATTCTTTGTTTTGTTTTTGGTGCCAGTTGTGTGTTTATATGAAGGGTGGGGGAAAAGTGAAAAAGAAACTTAAAAATATAGGTCATCTGTGCTTACAATTTATTGACTGTTTCTCTTTAAGTGACTTGCTCTTTTTACCTAAATTTATTTTTAAAAGAAACTTTGTATCACAACCTTAAATAGGCAGCTCACAGTGTTTTGGAATTCAGATATTTTTTCTGATTTCAAAGGTGATACAGTGTGTGTACCCAACATTAGTTAACACCCTCAGAGGGCAAAAGAATCAATGAATATTTCTGCAGAGAAATAAATGAATATTTATACCAAGTAGGATAAAGACTGTGTATAGCTTGCCTCAAATCAGCTTTGGCTCCAAACTTACAAAAAAATCTTTCATTTTTGAGAGCTTTTTGGATTTTAGGATGTGGATGAGTAGTATCACTTGGTGGAAATAGAAGGTAATGGAAAAAATATTCATTGCAAAGGAGCTACGTGGTTAGAGTCCAGCTTGCCCTCGCTGCTGGGGCTGCAGAAGGGCCCTTGGTGAAAAGGAAATTCACAAGGGAGAAGTTCACAGCCTCCACCGGCAGTGTTAACACGGGGGATCTGAGTGCATGGTATACAGAAACTCTGTGTGATATTCTTGCAACTTTTCTGTAAATCTAAAACTATTCTAAAATTAAAAGTTTATTTTAAAAAAAAATTCAACGAGCACCAAACCAGACTTTCTCCTTGATATTAAGAACGGAAAGAGAATAAAAAGCAGAATCACTTTCTCATTCAGTCATTCCATTTCTTAGTGCCTCCTCCTCATCCCACCTAAAATCATCCTGTGGACACCCCCACCCCCAGGGCAGCCTCCAGCCTCGGGAAACCCTGGCTGGGTCTGAGCTGGGCAGAGCCGTCACTGAATGTCAAGCCAAGGGCTTGGGCTTTTTCTGTGGACAGCGAGGTTTCGTTAAAGGTGTTTAAGTAGGTTTGGGGGTGCCTCTGAGAGTTTCTTCTGCGGATAGGGGTGAGCAGTTTGGTGGGAGAGGAAGAAGTTGGACAGGGGGAGGGAAAGGTTTTGGTCATGAAGGGAGAGATGTGGGACAGATGTGGGTGGATGGGAGGACTCAAAGCGGCAGGAATCCAGGCCCACTGGAGGTGCTCGGGCAGGGCAGGGTATGTAGGAGACTGTGTTAGGGGGCTGGCTGGGGCAGGATGCTGACTTTGAGGGGGCCAAGGGCACCTTACGGAAAATGTCCTCTATGGGCTGGAAGCCAGAGCTCAGAGCCAGAGATGCAGGTTTGGATGCCATGCTTTCGCGGATTGTAATAGGGCCCTGACGCTGGAGGACACCTCCAGGAGATAGAAAAGAACATTCCACTCGCCTCACGCCCCCAGCCCCACCCCCACTGCAGTTTAAATTGAGGAGGAGGGGGAGGAGACCCAGGCTTTCTACAAATTGGGAAATAGGCAGAGGGGCCCTCATTCTAGGTGGAAAAGGAAGCTTGGTTCCTCGTTGTTAATGGTGCAGCCAGTGGAATTAGGATCTAATTGGCAAAGGGCAGAGACCCTCCCCGGGAAGACCTGGTGCCCAGGGCTGCCTAAGCGGGGAGCTCTTCCACCAAAGGCAAAGGTACCAACAGGAAAAAATAAAAGATGCACATGGCGACATCCTGGAGAAAGCAAGGAAACAGGACTTGCGTCTCAAGAGTCTGCAGGCCTCTTTGCACGCAGAGGACACCCGTCCTGCCCACATGCCTATTCTTGCCCCCAGACTCTCTCATGCCCATCAGCCCTTTGCCTGAGCCGCCAACACCGGGGACCCTGTGCCAAGCCAGTGCCATTCTGGGGCTTAACCCACCTGCTGGAAGCAGGAGAGAAGCTGGGGCCCCAGGGCCAGTTGCTGAAACTGGATCCCAGCGGAGGGGAGAGCTGCCCTGAACAGAGGCCCCTCTGGCCCTGGCCTGGACCTAGGGTCCTGGCCCCCCGGTGTCGGTCCCCTGCCCCCCAGGGTGGGAGGAGTGGCAGCCGGCTGCGGGCCTGCCTGGGAAGTGGGTCAGCCTGACATCCCCAGCAGATGTCAGTCTGGGAACAGGAAGCAGCTTGTTTGGGGCTTCTAAAAATAAATAAATAAATAATAACCACGACCACAAGAACAGTCTTTTATTCCAAAGTAAAAAAATGCTTTAATGACTAGAGCATTTAGCACATCGGGGGTTTTCATTGTTTTCAATTATGTGCCATTCTGAAAGGAGAGCACAAATTCTGAGCCTGAATGGAGAATTGTGGGGCTGCGGCTTTGCGCTGTTTTAAACATTTGCTTTACTACTTTAAGAAGAGAACTGTAAAATGGAAATAATGATATATTATTACAAGTAAATTACACTGTGGAGTAGCATTAATATTGCAGTTGAAACCTAGAATTTGAAATAAAGATGGAAATATTCATTTGTATATAGTTTTTGTTCTTAGAAAAATGATTTGGAATTAGGCAAGAAGCTTCCTTCTGCGTGTGTACCAGGTGGGGGCTGAGCGCTCCCGGGCCCCTGGCCCCGGGTCCGGCCCGGTCCACACGCCCTGCCCCATGCCGGGCCAGCAGCAAGGCCCCAGGCACCCGCTGGGACTGGGAACCAGGAGTTCTCAGCCCCGGGGTGCTGGCACAGGGTGGGGTCCTCCCTGCTTCCCTCAGCGAGGGGGGAAATTAATGCGTTACTGAAATGGAGTGATTTAGAAAGCAGAAATCCCTGCGGTCTGGGGTGGTGGGTGGACCTCACAGTCTTAGTGCTTGGGGACAGAGACTAGATAAGGAGATGGTAGCAGCAGATGACAGACAAGCTTTACTCTTTGGCAATCACTATCTCCCTTCTCAGAAACAGGTCCAATTGCTGGGCCTGGTCTCCCATCCACGGGCTCCTCCTCTCCTTCTGGGGAGAGGGCTGGGAGAAGGGCGACAGGAAAAAGGTTAGGGTCCATAACTTCCTTCTGTTTATTTGTCAGTTCAAGTGTTTTTTTGTTTGTTTTTTGCTTGAGGAAGGTTAACCCTGAGCTAACATCTGTGCCAGTCTTCCTCCACTTTGTATGTGGGTCGCCACCATGGCGTGGCTGACAAGTGGTGTAGGTCCGCACGGAGATCCCAACCCGGAACCTGAACCCGGAACCGGGTTGCCAGAGCGAGGGCACCGAACTCAACCGCTAAGCTGTGGGGCCGGCCCTCTAGTGTTTTTTAAACCAGTATAATATAGCTGAGCTCTGCTGAGTATGTTTTCTGAAGCAAACATCAAGGCTGCCATGGACAGTAATAAATGATCTTTGGAAGTGCTTCCTTTAGATCAGGAGGGATTTGCATACTAGACCAGGCCCACGCTGCTCACATGACCCCTACCCTTTCCTGACCTGGCCCTGCCCACTCTGCCAAACTCCTTTCCCCTGTTCTCCGCCTTTGCCCCTGAGGTCCCTCAGTGTGGGTCACTCCCCTTCCTTATCACCCACGCAGGCCACCAAGCTCACCATTCCAGACCGAACAGCCTCTACGGAGTATGGGGCATCCCCTCACCCCACCCTACCCCTGGGTTCCCATAACACCTAGCGCTTTCCTTTTAGCATTTACCACACTGTGTCCCCCCTATTTGATCATAAGTTCCCTGAAGTAACTGGATTCCTATGTGTATCCATTGCCCATTGCAGGGATAACTATAAATAACTATAAATGGTTATTGAATTAATGAATAATTTGGCAGTTTGTGAGGTGGGACTGGAAAGTACTATTTATTGAGCACATTACAACAACCCTGCAGGGTAGGCGTGATCTCTCTTTTTACAAATAAGGAAACTGAGGGCCAGAGATGCTAGGTAACTTGCCCCAAGTCATACAACCAGGAAGGGACAGAGCAAGGATTAGACTGTCTGACTCCCCAACCACCTTTTTACCCTACATGATGGAAGGAGGACTGAATCAAAGTATCCCCAACATGTACACTGGGCATCACCAAGAGACTTTTATAGCACTTACGGGTTCCTTGGAATCTTCAGGACAGCCTAGCAAATACCAAGGGTCTTCTCCATTGGAGATTTGCATTGAGTTCCTGATAACCACCCCCCACCGCCCCACCCCCATCCCCTGCCTCCATAATCTTTTACTTGGAAAACTTTCAACCTAGAGAAAAGTTGAAAGAGTAGGACAATGAACACAAGTAAATCCTTCATATTTGCAAATATATATATATACACACACATATATATTTATATATTAGGGGTTTGGGTTTTTTTGTTTTTTGGCTTCTTTGCTAAACTATTTGAAAATAACTTGCAGATATCTTGACACTTGACTCCTAAATATTTCAGCATGTTAAGGAGAAAGATTCTCCTCTGTAATCACGATTCCATTATCACATCCACAAAATTTAGCATACACTTAATAGTTAATATATAGTCTATATTCAAATTCCCTAATTGATTCAAGAATGTCCTTTTATAGCTATTTTTGTTTTCTGATCCAGGATCCAATTAAGGGTCACTAATTTCACTGAGTTACCTTTTCTCTTTCGTCTCCTGTAACCTAGAACAGTTTGACTTTTTTCTTTTTCATGACACTGACATTTTTGAATCCAGACTCGTTTTCTTGTAGAATGTCCCACATTCTGGATTTCTCTGTTTGTTCTGTAATATTTTTCCCCCGAAAATACTACATAGGTGACATTGTGTATTTCCCACTGCACTGTGTCAGGAGGCACACAACGTCAGTTTGTCCCATTATTGGTGATGTTATTATGTTTGATTACTTGGTGTGGTGGGCAGCCTCTAAGATGGTCGCCAATAGTCCCTACCTCCTGGTATTCACATCCTGCATATCCCCCTCCCCTCGAGTACAGGCTGGATTTAGTGACTCACTTTTTTTTTTTTTTTTGTGGTGAGGAAGACTGGCCCTGAGCTAACACCTGTGCCCATCTTCCTCTATTTTGTATGTGGGATGCCACCACAGCATGGTTTGATGAGCGGTGCATAGGTCCGAACCTTCGAACCCCGGGCCTCTGAAGCCGATCGCATGAACTTAACCACTACACCACCAGGCCCGGCCCCCATGACTCACTTCTAAAGACTAGAATATGGCAGTAGATAGAGTATGTCACTTCTGAAATTAAGTTGTAAAGAGACTGTGGTTTTCGTTTTGGAGCCCTGTCTCTTTCTGTTCACCTCACTCGCCCTGGGGGAAGCCAGGTGCCCTGTTGTGAGGCAGCTGTATGGAGAGACCCATAGGAGCGATCTTGGAAGCGAATCTTCTGAGGCCTGCCAACAGCCACCCGAGTGATAGAATCGACTATGACTTCTTTCTGATAGTCAAATTGTCCCAAATTTGGTTAGTAGAAGTTCCTTCAGGCTGAGGTCTGTATGCTGTTGAAAGGTTCCATCAGTCTTTGAGCACTCTCTCACTTTCTGGCTCACTTTGTGTTTTCCTGGCCCAAACCTGGAATCAGCCATCTCTCCAAGGTTTCTTTTAGTGGAGAATGGCATTCAGAAGCCAAACTTTGGCAGTAAGTACTAAGTTTGCTCATTGCTACTGGGATATCATTGCTTATAGACCTTGTTAGTGGACAGAGCTAGGAAATGCTTTTTGTGTGTGTGTATGAGGAAGATCAGCCCTGAGCTAACATCCATGCCAATCTTTCTCTTTTTACTGAGGAAGACTGGCCCTGCGCTAACATCTGTGCCCATCTTCCTCTACTTTATATGGGACGCCGCCACAGCATGGCCTGACAAGCGGTGCATCGGTGTGCGCCTGGGATCCAAACCCGGCAGCAGCAGAGAGTGTGCACTTAACCACTACGCCACGGGGCCGGCCCCGCTTTTTTTTTTTTTTGGAAAGAAATTTCTGCCAATTCAAATCCAACTCCCTAGGGTTCTTCCTCACCTTCCCATTCCATATTTGTATCTCTCTTCCTCCACAGGGAGACCCCCGATTCCCAACAACATCAATATATCTAATCATTTGCTCTGTCCTACAACATACTCAAAATAGTTTCAGAATTACTACTCCCAAACCATTTCCAACAAGAAGCCTTCTAAGAAAAATTCAAGACTTCTTTGCAGTTCTATTTGTTCTTGGAATGTATCCCACTCTTTAGTATGGTATGCAGGTATGTAGTCAGAGTGCAATATTCACAAATCATTGAAATTAACTCTGTGTGTGTGTGTGTGTGTGTGTGTGTGTGTGTGTGTGTGTGGTTCCATTATCAATTTGATATGCAGTTAGGTTTCTTTGTTTCCATTTCCAGTTTTAGGGTTTGCTTTCTTCCAATTTTTTAAAATTTATTTTTTTAATATATAAAACTTTTACATGGTTCAAAAGTCAAAACTACATATAAAAAGTATACTCAGAAGTCTTACTCCCATTCATATTCCTTCCACTTCATTCCTACTATCCACTATAAGCAACTGTTTTTACTAGTTTCTGGTTTATTTATCCTTCCTGGGTTTCTTTTTCTTATGCAAAAACTCAAAAAAAACACTTCTGAGTTTTTCACTTAATATGTCCTAGAAATCATCACGTTAATTCATAGAAATAGTCAACCTTTTTTCAGCTGTATATTACTCTATTGTGTGAATTCATCATAGCTTAATCAGCTAGTACCCTAATGGGTGAGCATTTAAGTTGTTTCTAATAGTTTGTTATAAATAATGTCTCAGTGAATAACCTTGTAAAGATTGTTTTATATTTGTGGAAATGTACTTTCAGGGTGAATTCCTGGAATTAGGATTCCTGGGGCAAGAGGTAAATGGATATGTAGTTTTGCTCAATATTCCAAATTCCCTCCATGGGGGTTGTACCATTTTGCATTCCTGCCAACAATGACGAGGATGCCCTTTTCCTTACAGCCTTGCCAACAGAGTGTCTTACCAAACTTTTAAATTTTTGACAATTCACGGGGCGGCCCGGTGGTGCAAGCGGTTAAGTGCGCGCGCTCCTCTGCGGCAGCCGGGGTGCTCCGTTTGGACCCCTGGCGTGCGCGGTCACACTGCTTGTCGAGCCACGCTGTGGGGGCGTCCCATATAAAGTAGAGGAAGATGGGCACAGAAGTTAGCCCAGGGCCAATCTTCCTCAGCAAAAAGAGGAGCATTGGCAACAGATGTTAGCTCAGGGCTGATCTTCCTCACACACACACACAAAAATTTTTTTTGACAATTCAATAAAAACTAGTATCTTGTTGTAGTTCTAATATGTATCTATATCAATATGAGTGAAGCTGAACATCTTTTCATATTTTTAAGGTCCATCTAAATATTTTAATTGTGTGTGTGTGAACTCTCTATGCTTTTTGCCCAATTTTCTATCAAGTTTTGGCTTTTTTCCTCAATATGTAAATGTTTCTTATATTCCCAATATTATAGATTAACCTGTACCTCTGAAAAATATTGCAAAGCTTTTCTCTCAGTTTGATTTTTTTTTTGCCATGCAGCAGGGTTTTTAAAAAAATGTTGTTGAGGGCCGGCCCCGTGGCTTAGCGGTTAAGTGCTCGGCCTCTGCTGCTGGTGGCCTGGGGTTCAGATCTCGGTGCGCACCAATGCAACGCTTCTCCGGCCATGCTGAGGCCGCGTCCCACATACAGCAACTAGAAGGATGTGCAGCTATGACATACAACTATCTACTGGGGCTTTGGGGGGAAAAAATAAATAAATAAAATCTTAAAAAAAAAATTGTTGTTGAATTTATTAACGTGTTCTTTTATTGCATCAGGATATTTTATTTTTCATTAGAAAGCATTTATCTGGGAGTTGGCTGGGCTTGGACTGGATTTCTATGCATCTTGGTGTTATAAGTTCTCCCTTTTGTGAGGCACAATAGGGAGACCTCTTTTCCCTTCTACCAAGAAGGTGATGGGGGCTGTGAGCGGAGCCAGTCTGATTGGTTTTCCATCTGTTTCTTTCTCAGGAGTTCCACATCCCTCCCCTTGACCCAAGGAACCCTGGTTGTGGACAGTCACTTAGCTCTCATTGGGGAGGGTGGATGCCACGTGGGAGAGAAAGCTGCCCCACATCTTCTCTCTCAGTTCAAGGAGCAGGTACCCAGAGCTGCCCTTGGCTTGCATGGGGTTCAAGTCATAGAAAGACTTTTCCCACACCCAGGGTATAAATAAATCCACCCACGTTTTCTTCTAATACCTGTGTGGTTTCGCTTTTTACAGTTAGATATCTGATCCATTTGGCGTTTATCCTGGTGGATGGTAAGAGGTTTGGGCAAAGTGGCCCCATGGAGTGGGGGTGGGGTGGCGTGGGGAAAATAAGTGGCGATCTTTATGGTCTGGGCCACTAGGTGGCGCTTCTCTAGATTCATTTCTGTGGGACTGTAGGCAGAAATGCTGTAAGTCCTCAGAAGAAAAAGGAAGTGACTCATTAGGTTCAATTGGCCAAGAGGAAGTCCTAGTGGGAAGTTCCCCTCCAGCCACACAACCTTGACTTCTGTAGGCAGGCTGGGTGCTTCTTTCCCCATATTAGAAAATATCACTTCCTCCATGTCTCTGTTTCCACCAAGAGAGTGATGTGGAAGAGT